GCCGGAAAGATGTTCGTCCGAAATTCGGCATCCTGATATAAGTAAATTATTATAGGATTTTGCTGCACAATGATTAGTTTTACAACGCTACCTAATTAATCTTATGGAAACAAAAACGCATTTTGGAATTTCGGTTAACATTTCATGAGTTAGCCCACGTACTGTAAGTCTGATGGTCATCTGGTCTTGGGGATTACTTAGAAAATCCTGCTTGGGTAGTCAGCCTACTGTGTCAGATTTGGTGGGTTCCGCACCTTGCAGTAGGCTGAGTGGGTAACATGACCCATATGTAATTGAAGCCGCGGCTGCCGGTGGGACCTCGTAGCTCAGGTGGCTAGAGCGCTGGCTGTACTAAAGCCTGCTCCTTGCTGTCGTAAGTATGAATCCCACAGAAGTCGCTGAGTTTCTCTCAGGTGGGCCAAATAAATTATGCGGAAGTCTACAAACTCCCACATTGGAATGCGGGTAAATTTATTAAGCATAAAGCTATTCAAGAATTATCATAAGAACGGCCATTTAAGTAGTAATGCGAATCAGGAAAGAGATACATTTTCCTAAATGGAAGACAATCAGGACAAGTCGAATTTGAAATCGACGTGTGCATTTAAAACCATGTCTTTTATGTGAACACTGATTCCAAACGTGAGCTCAACCATGTTTGATTGGGAGAACCTTGCTATTTTTGGCTTTTCAAAGAAGTGGGTTGATTAGGGAAAACTGTTTCTTCCTTTTCTACCTAGTTAAGCTGCTCTCATGGAGCGAAACTTTACGGCGAATTCAGTTCTGCTTCCCCCTCTGCTGTCGAGTACTATCATATTTTTAAAATAAATAATCATTTCTGGAATAAGAATGTATTATTTTGTAGTTCAACTTGTAAATTATTTTACCTCACTCGGCTTGCCCAAGCAATTATTTCTAAAGAGAAAATCCTTTTGTAGGTCAGCATTTTACGTTAAAGTCAAGATAGTAGTTGCTCATGACGCCCATGCGTGTGACAACACGGTCGAGTTAGTCAAAATGCTATCGAGTTGAACCTCTAATTATTCTGCAATGAGGCCCTCATATGTGGTCTCCAGTACCGGATGCGGTGGTGCTGTTAGGGGTCTGTAAAGTTCTACTGATATAATAATAAGAATAACAACTTCGAAGGTAATAATTAAACACAGAACCAAGAAGGTATTTTTTTACTAGAGGCGAAAAATAGGAAATTTTGTCAAGAAAAATTCTGATCATTTGAGGGATAGATCAAATAGGGAAATATTAGGAAAAGCACGCTACTTGTATAAATACTACGCGCCAAGAGACTAGATGTAATAAAACTCACACCGTAGGTGTACTTATCTTAAATGTTATGACGGAAGTGTTTCACTGTACAAATTCATAGTTTTTGCCATCAGCAATATCCGGTAATACTGGCGTTGAAACTCTAGTTCTAGGCTTAAGAAAGTTATCGCGGAGCCTTTCGATGACAAGGCCAAGTCCTAAGCGGAGTTTCAAGAAGGTCGTGCATCAGTTCAAAGGCACTTATGTGGGTCCTGAGAGATGATAAAACGTACGGAACTTCGAGAAATCGAACTCAAACGGATTATTTTGCCAATAGAAGCGAAGAGACTAGTCCCAGGAAGCAGTCGTGAAGAAGGGACACGATCGCTGAGAGAAGAGCTTTATTCGGCGAAAAACTTCTTGTCTCGACGACCGAGTCTTTATCAGGGATTATTTTAAGCTTATTTAAGGCATTTTAGGAAATAAGGGGCACTATAATAGTAGTTAGACCAGCATTTTTTAAACCACATCACAAAGCACTTAATATTCAAAATATCAAATATGATTTAACCACTTTACAGTACGTGGGCTAACTCATGAAATGTTAACCGAAATTCCAAAATGCGTTTTTGTTTCCATAAGATTAATTAGGTAGCGTTGTAAAACTAATCATTGTGCAGCAAAATCCTATAATAATTTACTTATATCAGGATGCC